AAGAAGGAAGCATTTTTATGCAACTTTGAATTTACAGTAGGACGATTATTCTACCACATGTAATAATAAGTTAGATAAAATATTCTCTGAACTTTAATTTAATTTAATTAGTGTGGACCAGACGCAGCAGCCTGGCTGTAGAAATTCATCAGTTGTCATTAAAATCAAAGTTCTACATATGCACTTTATTTATCTACACAAATTATTAGTAATTTCATAAATCCTTAAGTCCCCTATGTTTACTGAAGATAAACTACAGCTATGCAGAAAATCTGATGCCTTAGAAACACAGCTGCTAAAAGCAGATTAAGAAAACAATCATATACTAACACATTTTAATATTTTTTCCTATTGTTTCAGAAATATCTCCGCTGAAGACGTCCTTCCTCCCCTCCTCTCCTCACCTCCAGTTTACCGCCATCTTCCTTATTCTGCCTGAGAAGGAAAAATATCAGAGTAACTATAGATGAAGTCATAATAAGTCAAATCATCATATTCAGTAAAATGTAGGCCATTTTTTGGCTGTTGCCTTAAATCCGTTTAGCATTTCATTAATAATAGAAGTGTTGTCTGTATCAGTGCTGAAGGAAACTGATTATCTGCGTTTGTATTCAGTATCACTACGTTTTTATTGAACCTGACGGAGGTTTGAAAACTTGGAAGGATTTTAAAGCTTTAAAATGAAGAAACTGAAGCTTAGCTGAAGCTAAGAATGACGTTAGCCTTAAAGAAGAAATGTTGTTTAAAAAGCTGGAAACATGAAGTTTGTCCATTTTATTAGTGGTTTTATGTTTGTTGTGCAGCTGTGACCAGGTTCTGGTTCTGGTTGGTCTGATTACATCCGAATCACATGAAGGATCTTTTTACTCCGTTTGTGCTGAAAACTGTACTTAGGTTCAGTAAGTATGAACAAAAGTTAAACATTTCTTTTATTGTACCATTAACATTTCACAAACTTGTAATTAATAATTACAAAAATAAATAAGTGTTCTAATGAATATTAAAATATATTTCTACTTGTTTGTTTGACTTGTGTGTTTCTATTACATTCTACTATATCTAATATAATCTATCACATTTTTTATTTCATATTCCATGAAAAGATTAAATTCAATTATATTTATTGAAAAGGGAGAATACAAAGTGACCAAACAGGTAAATAATGTAAAATCCATCTGCAAGGTTAATTTTAAAACAATTACAAGAAAAAATAAAATGATTATCAAATAGTTATTAATGTAGTGCATTCATTACATATATACAATATATTTTTTCCATTTTCTTGCTCATATTACATATTTATTTAGATATGAATATGCTATTTTTAATAATTTGACACCATTTTTTATTGTTCTTGTTTCCTACTGCTTTAGTCTTAATTATATTTTCACTTGAACCTTTTTGAACAGTTTTCAGTTTCAAGCTCAAGAGTCAAACTTCAAGCTGTGGATGGACAAATATGCAGCACAAATCAGGAGCAAATAAATTATCAATGTAGTTTTCATGACATGATTATAGATCAATAAATACAGCTTGTCAATTTGTGCCTCTGGGACTCAAAGCCATTTGTTTCCTGCTGTCTCTCTCTTTTTTTCAACCAACACACACACACACACACCCCATCTGCATCCCTCCCACTGACAAGTGGTGCTCCAAGTCAGCCGGTGGAATAGAGTCTCACTTCTCGCCTGCTCTGCTCCCAACGATGCGTTCTTCTCTCTACCTCCTGGCTTTCCTCTACCTGCGCTCCAGGGCATCAGGTAAGACTCTCAACTCAAACAAAAACTTTTATCATCGTTCACTGTGTGTGTGTGTAAATGATAATAATCATGGCATTTTTCTGCAACTCCAAAAAGTTATATGCAACGCTTGAAATGTGTTTTAAGACGAGCCGAGTTTGTGGACTTGTGAAACTGAGGGAAAAAATAAATAAATAAATCAGCTTTGACAGAAAATATATATTTTTTAATCCTAATCAAGCAAAAATCACAAGAAAGAAAGCAATCATCAGCAATTATTGTTGGATAAAATGCCAAAGAATAGGAATAATTAAAGTGTGGTTAATCAAGGTGAATTGTGGGATAAAATGTCAAGGCAATGACAAATAAAAACAATAAACTTTTATTAAAATATTTTTCATCGGCCTTTTACTTAATCAGGAAACTGAAATTTATTAATGAAAATTTCAACAGAAATGTTAATTGTGCTGTTACATGGAGCACTTATTAATAAACTACTCAGTGTGTTCAATATTAATACAAATGTTTTCAAAATGAGAAAATGTCCTGAATTTAAAAAAAAAAATGTTGTATTTGTGTCCAAATATTATTTTCAAACATTTGTAAATACTAATAATACAATACAGTGTTTAAAATGCAATAAATTTCACAAAGTCTGTGTATTTACAAATTAAAAGTATTTTTGTGAAGAGATACATGTGTGTTGATTAACAGTGCACATAAAATCTGATTGTTGAAAGCTTTTTTCTTTTCCTGCAGGAAGAAAATACAATAAAATACTATATTATTTATATAAATTATTGTTTCCTGCAGCTCAGCTAATGATTTTTAAGAACCTCCTGGTGTGAATTTCCACATTTCTTTGTCTGTTCCAGACAAAGAAAATTAAAATGAAGAATTTAAAACATTCATCTAATTGAAGGAAACCAAATTTAAGCCGACGTTTGATTCCCGTCTTTGGCTTTTCTTCGCTGCTGACTCTGACACAGGTGTGTGAGCCAGGTGGGGTAAAACCCACCTCCACCTGTGCATTGTTCTCACCTGGTGAGAACTGTTGTCCCCTTTCAAAGGACGCCATTATGGGTTAATCTGTGTCTCTGTATTAGCTAAATGGTTCTCCATTCCAGCCTTCATTCCCACCACAGAGCCAGACGCTGGAGGGAGTTTTTTCTCATCAGCAACATAATACGCAGCAACAGGACAACAGTAAACGACTTCATCAGTGCCTGACGGAGCGACGCACTCACTTTACTCTGAATGCAATCAGCGGTTTCACAACTGCTCCTTTGTGACACAAATAAAGTCTTAGACTCCTTGTCAAAAGAACACGACTAAATCAGCAGTGGTGCTTTTTGAGAAAACAGATTTATGTTCAAATATAATAGAAGCTTATTGGTCATTAAGAAACTTAAGCTTCAGTCTTTCAGGAAGCAAAAAAAAAAAAAACAACTAATTACGCATGAGTATCACATTTAGGGGCTGGAGTTCTCAAAAATGACTAAATTAATTCAATATTTCTCAAAAATTACAAGACGTATTTGAATGGTTCTGTTATCAAAATAAAGGTGACACTCCAGAGAATACTCTAAGCCACAAGTGTCAAACTCAACTTGGAAATATCGTAAATATTTCCAAGTTAGTACCACAAACACTTTTTATTTTATTGCAAAATGTCACAAAAAGAATCACGAAATCCTGGAAGAACTGAAAAGATGGTCAATATTATTATTTACTTCTAAGAATTAATTGATATTTTTACAGTTTGTGAAGTTTTATCAATACATTCTAGCACAAAGGGCCCTTTAAAAGCATTCTTGATATTGATTTGTCCCGAAACAAAAAGTTTGACACAGCTGTTGTAGAGGTCTAAAAAAACATATTTTTATTACTGAGTCAGAGCCAATTAATACGGCACACAGGGAAAAATAAAAATAAATAAAAAACACCAGTGGAATGCTTTTTGTGATTAGTATTTTCTTTGAAAGCAAGGAGTAGAAATCTAGAACCTCTAGTAATCCACAGTTCATCCCAGGGGTTAAAATAATTATAATTTGTAGTGTATTTTTCTCCCTATTGATTTAACAGAAGCATCCAAACAAACAAAGCATTAAAAATAAAGACTACACAGGAACATATAACAAACTAACTGGACAATCCAGCTGATGGATTTGTTTGTATTTTTTTTTTTTTTTTGTTTTGTTTCTGAATTCTCAAAGTTTAGTTTCTGGGATTAAACATATAAACAGATTAATAGAAACTGTTATAAAAGCTAACCTAATTATTTTATGAACTTCATGACGCCTCTTTTGAACAAGAAGCTGCAACAAAACCCCTGTTTCAGATTTTTATTTGTGATTTCAGCTGAGTGGTGTTACCAGAGCCAGACCTGTGATGACACATGCAAAGGTGAGTAAAATATTCAAACAGCAGCAAAGCTAATCTAACTCAGTTCAATTCAGTTTTTTACATTGCGAAAAGCTGCAGCAAATATTATATGAAGGAACTTCAAACAGGTCCAATTCAAATCTATGGATGAATAAAACAAATCAATTAAATATTTTTTTATCCACATGACGCAGTGCAAGTTTGGGTTAGATTGTTATTTGGTAAAAGGTTTAAATTTAGTCTTTTTAAACCTCACAAATAATCTGTGCATTTTAATATTTTAGATGTTTATAGACTGTTATATACCAGTACATTTCTTCTTACATTACATACATACAACACAGAACCTCCAGTAGATCTTGGTGTTAAAATATGCAGTGGTGGGTAAACTAAGTACACCCCTGCAGCGTCTCTTCTTCAACTCTAAATAAACATTTATTCTACTTTAGTTGCAATAAATGGATCAACTGGAACCATAATTTAGTTTATTTTCTGGGTTGTGTCTTATATATCACCAACAACAGATCAGGTGTGTCCAAACTTTTTGTCACATGGACCAAAATCATCATGTCAGAGGCACTTATAGGTTTAAAAACTGTAATATTTTTTAAAATTAAAATCTTGTAACTTTATTATAATTATTTGCAATAAACTAAACATTGAGTTGTTAGATTTTATTATAGATTATAGATGTGTAAGTCATTCCACATCCTAAAGTTAGAAGCAATTTTGCATTTTTAGATTAAAAAAATATATCAATTGAAAAAAATTCAATATACTATATTTAGTGTATTCTGGAAAATTAGGCCAGGATTTGTGTCAGTCTTTCTTTAAAAAATATATTAAGTTTTTCAGAATAATCTTTAAAAAGCTTATTAATTAATAGATTAAAAGCTTATTTGGAAACATCCCAACCTAAAGTCACTGAATAGTTGGGATCTTAATTACTATAAAAAAAGTAAAAAAAAAAAAAAAAAATTAATTTATCAGAAATAATTATTTCAAATAAATTATTATAACCAGAAATAATAATAAATCATTATTTAAAGTCTATCTGCATCTACCACCATCTAAATTGGTATCATTCTTTAACCAGGGTTAGGGCCGCGTAAATTCAGTGCAGGGGCCAAAAATGGCCCTCTGGCCACACTTTGGACCCGTTTGAGTTTGTGAAAGATAAACTTACAGCAGTAAGTTGTGTTAACTTTTTATTCATTTTCTCAAACCTCTCAGCTGAATAAACTACAGTTTTTAGGGTAGCACTTAAAAAAAACTGGAAGAGGAAAAAGAGAAGAGTGGGAAATATTTCCCACAATGCTTAGCGGCATGTTTATGTATTCTGAGATGGAAGTGTGTTACATTGATCCAACTCTTGTTTGTTATTAAAGCAAATATTCATTTTAAAGCAATTCTCAGTTTTCAAAGCTCGAAGATAATGTCCTGCTCACACTAAATGTTTCTGAGCTGAATTTAATAAAATTCATTATCAGATCAGAAATTTTGTTCATGCAATTTGAAACAAGAATTAAAATGATTCTAAAGTAAAATAAGTAGTTAGTTTAACTTGATATTGTGAGTAAAATAATACAGAAATGAGTGCTCTGTTTTTTCTTGCATATTGTGACATAACTATTTGGTTTAAGTTGCAGTGTTAAGTTAAAACACAAAATTCAAGACTAGTAAACTTAAAGAACAATTTTTAGACAACTTGTTTCTTATTGTTAAATCAACTTCATGAACTTTAATTTCTGAGTTAAAACCAAAACAATTGTTTTGTGTTGGCAGCAGGTGAAGATTAATTTTCAAGTTAAACCACCTTCAGATGTTTACAGTGTGATGTGATGACTCTCTTTTCCAGACCCAAGCCGCTGGGCAGCTCTGTTTCCCAGATGTGGAGGTTTACGCCAGTCGCCAATTAACATCGTGACCAATAAAGTTCATTTCAGCAGCGCCCTTCCTCACTTCAGCTTCATCGGACACACCGACTTAATCAACATCACAGTAGAGAACAAGGGCCACTCTGGTAATGAAAAACACCAAAGCCTAATCTGTTCTCCTCCCTTTCAGAGCCTCAATGCTTGTTAGATTCACGCTGTGACTTCGTTTTTCTCCATCAGCTCACTTTGCTTTACCAGAGTCAGTGCGGCTGACAGGAGGCGCTCTGCCGGGTCACTACAGAGCGGCCCAGTTTCACTTCCACTGGGGAGAGAGAGGGACACCGGGATCAGAGCACACCATTGATGGGGAAAGATTTCCCATGGAGGTAAGGGCGTAAAGGCCGGGTGAATAACAGGATTATGAATTATACTGCAGCTGTTACTCGATAAGTGGCGTTTTCTATTGCATTCAGCAGATTTTTGAAGACCTAAAAGCATATTTTGGTATAAATTATGACGCAAACAACCTGTAATCTGCTTCAGACAGAATATTAGTGGTTTGTTGCAGGTGTATATTGTGTCTGTAGGAGGCGCTGTAACATCTTAACACAGGGGTGTCAAACTCGTTGTTTTGGGCCAAATCAAGATCATGAATGCTCTTAAAGGGACAGTTGTGCCAGAATGTACTGATAAAATATCAATGAATTCTTAAAATTAAATATTATTGAACATCTTCTGAGTCCCTCCAGGATTTTGTGATTCATTTTGTGATTTTTGCAATAAAAACCAAAGTGTTTGTGATACTAACTTAAAATACTTTGTGATATTTGCACTTAATTATGTAAGCAGATAAAAACTGCATTGATTTGATTGATAGCATGATATTTAAGCACACTTAGAGTTGAGTCTAGACTCCTCAGGGCCACAAAAAAAGCTATGGCAGGCCAGATTTGGCCCACAGACCTTGTGTTTGACACGTCTTAACACGATGCTATGTCAAAAATGTAAGGTTTGCAGAGGAGAAACAAAAGGAAAAATAAAGAAAAAGAACAAAAAATAAAACTAAAAGTAAAGAAAAAGCCAAACAAAGAATAAAAAGTCATATTTGACCACTAATATTATGACTATTATGGAAATAAAATATATCTCAGATATTGTGACCATTCTGTAACTTATGGTAAAATACTAAACTCTACTACTTAAGTATTTGGTGTTTTTCTATAAGTTACAGTTTGGTTACAATATCTGAACAGGATATCATTTTATGTGACCATCTATATTTCCATAATAGTCATAATATTAGTGGTGAGATTTTTCTATCCTTTGTTCATCTTTTTCTGTATTTTTCCTTTTGCGTTTGTTGCAGTCACCACATTCCCCTGCAAATCTTACATTTTTAGTGACTCATGGTGTTAAAATGCAACAGCGCCTCCCAGGGTCACAATGTCACAGAATATGGTGTAACACCGGTATTGAGCAATAATGCAAATTTCAGTTCAAATTTAAAATGACTGCAGTGAAAACTGGTTTGTTAGGATTATTTTTTTCAGGTTTGTGTTCTAGGTACGATTCCTTATAATACCTTTCCTTTCTGTCTGCACAGTTGCACATAGTCCATATTAAGGAGCCTTACAGCTCTCTGGAGGAAGCAGGACACGATATGGCGGGCATCGCTCTGCTCGCCCTCTTCTTTGAGGTAACGCATCACTCTACTGCCGGGGTGTCCAAAGTGTGGGGCAGGGGGCCATTTCTGGCCTCTGACTTCAATTAAAGAGTGGTCATCCAACACTTTTTGTAATTTTTTTAAGATGAGATTTTCCGTGGCAAGTTTATATGTTCTTAAACTGAGAATGTTAAGTACGACACAAAGGATTTTTCTTGAGCCTTTTGTGGGGCTCAAGAAAAATCGGGATATAAATTTTGACCCCTGAATACTTTCAGCTTGCGATTTTGGCCCTCAGTGCAAAAAAGTTTGGACACCTTTGCCTTTCACAAGTATGCACTGCTTGTTGTTAGTCTGTCACATACAATCCCAACCTAAAACATTTAGACTGGGATTGTGATCTGATCAAATATGAAGAGTGAATACTTAAAATACTGTAAATGTCTTTCCAAGTTCAGTTTATCTTATCATATTATTATTATAGGCTATTGTATTTTTGTTGACTTCCTTACAGGAAACAGCAGATGATCATCCTCATCTAGACACAATAATTGCTGCTCTGGGTCAAGTAAAAAACAATGGTAAATATATTATTTTTTTAATTTAAAAACACAAAAACATATCATGAATGTTGTTATTCTTCTTGGACTTGAAACTTGAACCCATGTACAGTGCAATAGGTAATTAGGGTTTAGGGGGAATTTGAGGCGTCTGGTCCAACTGAAGAGATAAACACAATCTTAAATGTCTGCCTGTCATGTAAAAGAACGCTTTTACATGACAGCGCAGTGCTTTGTTACTGCGTAACAAAGCACTGCGTGTGCTTTGTGTGGAAGAGAGGGAACTACTTCCCTCTCTTCCACACAGAGGGAAGTAGTTCAGTTATGCTTGTTTGACTTTGACAACCTTAACATGATGAGTAATTCGGTGTGTTTCGGTTCAGTTACAAAATAAAAAAGGCGACCTAAACACCAACTCTGATAGATCATCAGTAGATCAGGCGTTTAAATTAGCTCATCTAAAACCGCTGTGGTAGATTAAAAGTATTAGCAGCGGTGTGTTAGCTAACTGTTATTAGCTAACCTAATAGCAGCGGTAGCTAATTTATCAAGTGAGCGCTTATTAATCATCGCAAAATAAACATCAAGCCTAAAAACACTAATGGACTGAATGTCCTGTTCTTTGTGAGGGAAATGTTTGAGTACTTTTAAAATGTTGAACCCTGATACGTATGGTGGCCTTATTGTCAGTTGCTATGGCAACGAGTGTGCGTGTACCGTAGCACAGACAGAAAGCGAGGCGGAAAAAACGTGCGGTCGAGTTCTTTAACGATTTTCTGCGTTATTTTCCTCTTTGCTGTGGCACACTGCATTAAATTAATAATACCTACATCTCTGGGCTTAATTAGTTAGTTAACGGTATTGTTCTACTACGGCTAGATGGCATGCGCATAACGCCCTCCAGCGTTGTGCGCATGCGCGAAATTTCATGATATAAATAGTAACATGCAGAGCGTCCATAGGAAACACATGAATTAAATTACTAAAGACATCTAAAAATTATGAGGTATAATTGGAGAGATGCAGCACCAAAGGAATACACTATAACTTACATTTGACGGAAACAAGCTTGAACAATTAGTAAACACGTTCAATGGTTAAACAACAGTGTTGTTTCCCCAAGAAACCACAAAAACATGCAGTTCTAAGATTTTACTAAGTACTAACTTGATCTTTTTTGCTGGCTATCTCTATTTCTGACTGTGTTAAGGCAGCAGCACAGTGATTCCAAACTTTAGACTGAGTTACATCATCCCGGCAGCCTCCGAGCTTCATAGTTACTACCGCTACGTGGGCTCCATGACAACTCCGGGATGTGAGCAGGCGGTTGCATGGACAGTGTTTCATAGGATACTGTCAATCAGCAGTCGACAGGTGAGGAGTCATTTAACATTTTATTTTGATTTTTATCTAAAAAAAAAACAACATACATTTTAAATATTTCTGCCGGTTAATGACCACCTATTTGCATTCAGAGTCAGGTAGTAACTAGCTACATTTATTCAATTACACTCACTTGACTAACTTTTTTGAGAAAATTTACTTTTATGAGTGTTTTACTACGCAGTACATTTTGCCATTACTTCGGTAAAAAAGGTAAAACTTGTTTTTCTTCAGTTTCTTTTCTTTTTGTCAGAGTCTCATGTTTTTTTCCTCTGCTCCCCAGCTGGATGCCATAGTTAAACAGTGCAGATTTTGGACAGGACAGCCCATGACAAACATCTTCAGACCCACGCAGCCTCTGGATGGCAGAGTAGTTTACAGCTCCAAGTCAGGCGCAGCTCATAAGAGAGTGAACCAAATGTTGTTCGTCATCCTCTCAGCTCTGTTCATGCCAATGATCCTGATACATATTATTTAGAACATATAATATAATTTCAAATTACACAGCCTCCAATAGTTTTTATGTCATGATTCCTATGACAAGTTTTCCTGTTACTCTTGAAGAAACCAATTCATACAGTATGATTGTGCCACCATCTTCCAGCAAAGGTATGGTGTATGTTCTGTGTTATTTTTAAATAAAAGAACCGCCATTTTATTTCTATTTTTAGATTTTAAAATAAAGAAAAGCATTAAACTTTTACCCCCAAAAAAGTATGTTTATATTGTCTTCAATAAAATAATACATATTTATGCAAAATCACAAACAAAGTTCAATGCAGCATGTCTTTCAGAAAAAAAAAAACACAGTATCAGAAATGTTCAGGTGCAGAAATTCAAGCCTGTCATATGTGCAATAAGAGTTTCCTACCTGAACAATACACACATTGTGCAGGACAATGCAAAAACTATGTACCACACCAAGCCACAGGCATCCAATAATATGCAAATAAATAAAAATACGCCAACTAAGGCATCAATGCATATATCAAGCAATATATCAACATATATTTTAACAAAATAGACTGGCAACAGCGCACACAATTGAACAGACATTAGTTTAGCAAAACTTTTCTGTTCCCCAGTTAAGGCCAAGCTCAACCTCAATCCAAACTGCTCAAATCTATGTGAACAAATAAAAGAAAAAATATTCAGTAAAGTCTGAATGAGAAAGTGATAAAAAAGTAACACTCACCCATTATTTGTAAATAAAATCCACAGGTTGTTGTGCTCAGTGCTAGCTGTTAGCAACTCATAGCGCTCAAATTTAGTCTTTAAAATGCCTAACAAAGTTCTTACTGGCTTGTTTTAATGAATCCAGGTTTGATGTGGGTTTTCCATTTTTAGTTATTTCTTTTTTTATCCGTGAAAGAGCGTCTCGAAAAAGGAGATTTTAATAAGTCAGCAACTAGGTCAACCGGAGATGAAACGAATGCGGCAGCCATTTTGTAAATTATGATTCAACATTCTGTGAGTCCCACCGTCATTGTACGTCAATTCGGATTGGCTGATAATTCTGTCTGTAGGAGCCAATTATCTTTTCCTGTTTATCGCCACCAGGGACCGTATTTAATTTTAAGTTGAAAAATACAGGATTTTACCCGCTATACTGTAGTCATGACAACTATGACCTGTTGCACGGCATTTTTGACCTGAATTTGTACAGAGGAGGAGGAGCTGCTTGCCAGATGCCTTTACGGCACTTTTTAGAGTAGAAATTTAAAGTGAAACCCCAATAATACCAATACGCTAATATCACTGCATAATACATAAAATAGCTTAAATATTGGTTTTAGTACATTGGTGCAAAATGAGCAAAGGAATGAAAGAAGTGGCAATGGAACAGGCACAAAATAGTAAAAACTGGAGGGAAATGATGCAGAGTCATCAGTGGAAGATATGAATAAAGCTGGAAATGAAATAAATTAACACTCATGGTTTATTTGAGTGAAGTCTGTAACATTATCCTTTATTCCGTAACCTATTGATCACTGCTCAGGTAAGAATACATGATCAACAAAAGTATCCTGAGATGAAAGTCACTTAAAGCAAATAAATTTCAAGCTTATAAAGGCAGTGTGAATAAAGGTGTAAGTAATTCACTTTGACCCAAGTCTGACAGCTGGAGGTCACAGAGAAGAGGTCACGGTGAACGAGTCTTCAGCCAGTTCCTCAGGTGTTCCACCTGGGCAGAGACGCTGCTCTTCGATGTTCCCCCAGAAGCGCTGTACTGCTCCACGCTGCTCCGGTAGTCCCACACTGAAGACACATCACTTCCAAACAACGGGCTAAAGTTCACACACACGCATCCATATGGCATACACAGACAGAGAAAAGAAAGATTGAATTCAAAATCATTAAAAATAATAAAAAAATATATGTAGAACTTCTACTATATAGTTAACTCACAATGATTTATTCCTTTAGCTGTTAAGTTGATGTTTCCTCTGATTAAAAACATATATGCATCCATACATGAGTGTCAACTACCTGATAGCAGCGAGGTCCGCCTCAGTCAGCTGATTCAGGGAGACATTTTTAGATTCAGCTGCAAATACAGCTTTTCCAGAGAGACCATGGGCTTCTCTGAATGGCACCTGGAACGAGAAGAGTGTCAAAACATAAACATTAACAATTTATAAAGCTATCAAAACTAATTCACTGCAAAAACACAAAATCTTAAGTAATTTTGGACTAGTTTGTAGTGAAGATATCTTAAATCACGTAATTTAGTCTAGAAATTAGACTGATATTGGTAAGATTTTGTGGTTTTGCAGTGTTTTACTGCTACTACACAATATTGTTGGATCATCTCACCCCTTTTCTCACGAGGTAGTAGGCCAGATCTGTAGCCAACATGTCAGGATTAAGCGCAGCTTCCATTACACTCTGGTTGATCTGAAACACAAGAGAAGCAAATTAACATCTATTTAAAGAAAAATAACGAATCTAACTTTCATGACTATTGTTTAAAATATTCTTTGTAATGTTAAGGTAAAATCCAAAATACTTAACCATGCTTTTTAGAAGGTTTTAACAGGATCTATATTTATCTGAAATTACCTTTTGACAAGACATTTAACTGGATTTTTATTTTTTTAACAGTGTCTATTTCAAGCATCACAAATTTTGGTTTAAAACTCTACTGCTAAAAAAGAAGAACCTGAAGATTATGCTTGTTTTTCAGAATTAACATTTATTCCCCATAAGAACTGACAGGTCCTCCACAATATGTATGTCTTGTAGGAACATTAAACAAAAATAGATGTAAATAACATATTGTACAGTGGGGAAAAAATACTGATAGATTCAGATCATTTTTGGGGTCTCAACTCTCTGGATTATTTAGGTTTTTATTTTTATGTTTTCACCTTTAGAGTCGACATGACTCCAGTTGTCACCTGCAGCACAGCATGGACAGTATCATAGCAGTCAAACATGGCTTCTTTGTCCTCCTGAAAAAATACAGAAACCACAACATAACAGGAGGTTACATTTGAATCTTCAAGTGAAGTTATAATATTAGAAAAGATGTAAGTTTAAACCTGCAGATCCTTGTTATATGCGCTGGGCAGACCCTTCAGAGTCATCATGAATCCTGCACACTAGTACAAAACAAAACAGGTTGCGGAAGAACATTATGAAATCAGGCAGGGCACCTGGTGTTTGCATGTGCCAAAGCAAATTATTTCTGAAAGTGAAAAAGATTTTTATACCTCTAAGTATTTATTGCAACAGCTCAAAGTGAATGAAGTAGCTTTGGTGAAATGAATGAACCAAGTAAGCATTAAAATGATGCTTCTTATTTAGAGTTCATGCTGTTCTGTCTACAAATGATCATGATCATGAATCTTCATCACTCTGTGTAAACCAGTCCTACAATAAAACAAATATAAAGTAGATTTTTAACTAATCTTGTCTTACTCTGCCAAAGACACGACCTGCTTTACTCCTGATCAGCTCCAGACTGTCGGCATTCTTCTTCTGGGGCATCAAACTGCTGCCTGTGCTACAAATCACACAAATAAACAGAAGAAGAAGAGTGTTACAGAAGAAGGGCAACATTTTAAAGAAGCTTTTAAAGAAAATAAGTATTAGAGGACAAGAAGTACAATTTGTAAGCAGCTACAGTTCTTAACCCTAACTCTAGGAGTAACAGGCAGATGTAAGATAAATATTTTATAAAATATAATTTAATTTCACAGATGTATCCTAAATGCAAAACAAACTTTTTAATATGCTTTGTAGACAGGGATAGATTTAAGAAAATTTTAGCATCTTCACTTTGATACTTTGTACAAAGTAAACATATCAAAACGTTATCTGATTGTGTGACCTCAGTCATGTCAACAGTTTATTTGAGCAATTTTTAATACAACTTTAAACTGAAGTCAATTTTTTTTTACATTGTTTTACATAAAAGTCAATAGTTCTTCACAGGGAATGTCATATCAACACATAATTATCCTGTTTCTGGGTAAAAATTCTTAAAACTTAAATTTATTGTACTTCAGGAAAACATTTCAAAAAGTGTTTTTCATTTTATTAACCTAACTATTATAATTGAGCTGCATATTTTACATAGTGCATGCTGAATATAGCACTGGATCCAAAATGTTGAGCCCATTTTTTATAAAAGCAGAAGACAGAAAAAAAAACATTTTGCAATTGCTTATTTCTTCTGTTTCATCTGTAAATTTTGGCAATAAGCAATAAGAAAAAACAACTCATACATATTTAAATTACATAGCATTTTAAAAAGGTTTTATTTTCACCAATATACCTATGAATGAGGTAAGGAAAAATCCACAAGATTTTCATTTTCTGCTGGACTATGAAGCAGGTTTTTTTTTTTAATCAAAAATGTTTTAATTCACATTTGTGAAGTCTTGACAAACTGAAGCAAAAAAAAAAAAAGAAAGCAAAGTTTACCTGTAGGCATCGGCGAGCGTGACGAAGGAGTACTCCTTAGTGCTGTACAGCATGAGATCCTCGGCCATCTTACTAAGGTGGGTCAAACACAGGGAAGCCCAGAACAAGAACTCCGCTTAAAAAAAAAACAAGTACTTTAAAACACAAATATGAGAAGGCTTCACTTAAAACCATTGGTTATGTTGAAAGGCTGAAATATACAGTTGACATACCAACAAAGTCTCTCTGTCCTGTGGCATCCATACTGTTCAGGCTGACGCTATCAAACCCCAACTCTACACCCAGAGAAGGAGAAATGTTCAGCATATTTTTTTATTAGCATTAGTAACACAACAACTCTCAAACTGATCTGACCTGTCCGCAGTAGCTCTCTGTCGATGTCAAAAGGTGTGCCAGCAATGGCGCCGCTGAAAACAGAATAATTCTTGTTACTTGATCACATCTGTGAATGAAAATCACAGCGGAGCAGGAAGTGTTTGCACTGCACCTGCCAAGAGGTAAAATATTGCTTCTTTTCTTGATCTCCAGAAGCCGCTCCACGTCTCTGCTTAAAGCTACAGCATAGCTGAGGGAAAGAAATGAGAAAAAAAACATGGTGAATGTCCACTAATATTAAAAAAATGAAACATAAACTTGGTGGATTTCATTGTTAATGAGTCACCTGAGAATCCAGTGACTCCATCTGACTGGCTGAGCCTTCTGCATGTGGGTGTAACCAGGAAAAAGGACGTCAATTTCTCTGTAATTTACAAAAGGTTTAAGGAAGTAGAATAAAAGAAATAAACTTATTTACATTCAGAATGATCTTACATTGCTGCCCGCTCCACCATGGTGGAGATGAGCTGCAGGGAGTTATCCGTTAGCATAGCGATGGCGTCTCGTAGCCACAGCTTCATGTCCGTCACCACCTGTTTAAATAAAACACAACACGTTGTCTCATGATTTACTTCCAGCTGACCTTTACTACAGATTCAGTGATGGAAAAAACAAACCTGATCATTTCTGCTCCTGCCGGTGTGCAACTTCCCTGCAGGAGCACCAATCAGCTCCTGGACAAACCGGCAACAAAGCAACACTGATTTGTTTTGTTTTTTATACATAATTTTTAAATTAATTATTATATCTTTAGTGTAGTTTGGACAAGTTTTAGATGGTTAATCTATCGTACCATTCTGAGAAAGACCAAATCTACATCACCTTAAGCCTGCGTTCGTTGGCTGTGTGAATGTCTTCATCTCCAGGTTTAATCAAAAACGCACCTTTAGACCATTCTTCAGAAATCTGTGGAGCAAAATGAGGGTTACATGACTTTTTTCCTCTCTTGCTCTTGGTGAAGGCGGATGCTTTTTCCCTCTGCTCCTTCCCTGCCCATGCCTGCCCTGCTTGCTCTGTTTTTGTCCTGTCTTTTTCTCCACTTTTGGAGCCTTTTTCTGCACATTTTCCAAATCTACAAATTATGGATCTGGTCAACCGATCTCTCAATGCAATTGATCAAATTTTCTCGATGAGAAGACTGAGCACAGGAGAGCCCTCTTGTCCTGCAGGGACACACCTGGCGGGATTCACCCTGGATTTATTCATGATAACAGGATTTCTGCTGTTTGGAGCTTGTGGATACCTGGCTTATCGACAAATTTGTGACGGACTTGACCAAACTGGCGAACAGTCAGACTGATTGAAATTTATAATCTACCTGACACAAGACATTCTGTATCTGAATTGGCTTTTCCCGTGTGGCCTTGGAAGGGCTGCATGTTTCCAATCTCCTTGAAGATATGTAAACATAACACTCCTTCCCACCTCAGCCCTTCCTGTTATTCATGCAGCTGTGGAGCTGAGCTCCACAGCTGCATGGACATTCCGTGATAACAACATCTTATCGGACTTCTGCTGGGAGGCTGA